ATAATTATATTGTAGCTATACTCGTTCCAGGTGAATCAAACAAAACTTGAAGGCTTGTTCGCAGTCTTTTATCCTTCATTGAAATCAATTACAGCCTAGTGAATCGCTGACAATAAGAAGGATCCTATATTTATGGATTGGTCATGTTTACGATGTTGCGTACAGTAAGGTCACATATCTTCCCAAACCTGTTCTGACGCTCACCACGGGGCGTGATGAAGGAAGTGCTATTACTAGCGCACATTTCACAGCAATTTAAGGGATCAAATTAATTTCAAGGTTCACGCACATTCGTATAGACCGGACGCACGCATCGCGCGTCATGTTCAGAAACAACCATCGTGATTTGAGAGCGCCGTCTCTCTGGTATTACCTTGGATTCTCCCTGCGAGACGCATTCCATGCAAATTACAACGAATTCTTCGTCTTCCGAGCTTTCGCCTTTTGTGACGAGCGATTTCTGCAAAGTGAGACTCATCGTGATGTAGTCCTGCAGCAAGCCGCAATAATCGGGTTACGAAACGTATTTATGCCCAGTTAACCGACAAAGAAATGTGCGCGGCTCATGTTCGAAGCCGATCCGGAGATTTAGTAGACGGCAAAGTCACGTACGTGCGATAATCAGATGGAAATGGTCACGTACGGGGTTTAAATCCCCATTCCGGGTCATTCACCGCAGAATAATGTTTATGACCGCAGACACAATAAGCGATATTTAGAATCGACGTAGCGAAGTGGAATCAAACGACGGTGTGTGGTAGGTGCACTACTAGATCATCGGAAGATGCATGGCGGTGCGTCTTCATCTTTTCACTTTCCTTTATGATTCCTGGATGTGTTTGCATGCTAAATTTCATGCAAGGTGATCGTTAGCAAGAAGAAGGAAGACCTCCAATTTGTTTTATGAAAATACGTGTAATCGACACATAATTCAAATTAATGTACATTCCCTTATTCATTTATTTTTAGTTGTGCGGATTGACAGAGAAAACGGAAGCTAGAAAGATGCCGATAAATCACATCGACATTGCAAAGAAGGAGAAGGTTGAGAATGAAGTAATTAAAAGGCAATAACAGAGAGAACACAGAAGAAATTAGGAAAGATAAATCATTATAACAATTGAAATTAGTATGTTTCCAGTGCGTTAATTTGAAGTTTATTGTCATAATCCATAAAATATCTTATGAAAATCTTATGTCATCTTATGTCAATATCTAATATCTTATGTCATAATCTATAAAGTGTGTAATGTATAAAATGTAATATACAAATAAACTTTTGAATGTTTTCTTACATTTCTGGGGAATTATCCCCATGTCGTAACATGGTGTGACAGAATCACTCGAATTTTGTATTAAATGTCAACATTTTCACTTTCAAAACAAAGATTTACAAAATGACGAATGTTCGCACAGGGCCAACAATTGCACCTTATACCACACATTATTTCAAGTTTAAATTAAAACCACCATCACGATAAGTGACTTTACAATATGTACAATGTCTGACAATTCAAAATCATTTTCATAAAATAGAATATAAAATAAAATGAAAAAAATATAGCCGCGTAATTTTTTCTTACCTAGAAGACCCTTACAATTGACATCATCGTACCACACCATTAGTCAGATCATTAGTTCGAATATCTTTTTATACACAGCAATGGTCTTCCATGATGTGTTCTTGTAACAAATAATATGAATATGAATATGATTATGACAATATGATTCTGTTACACAAAAGATTATTTCAATGATTTTTTTTATTAGAAATAGTTCAGAGCTTAAGCACAGACACAAGAACAAACAAAAATTATTCGTAAACACATTAGAATATTAACAGTTTGGAGACTACTTGTCATTAAGTCGCGAACTTTTGCCAACGCCCGTTATACTGCAAAGTTCTTCGGAACGAATGCTGCAAAGCGTGCACCCTGGAGAAGGTTGCGTTATGACAGCCACAGCCACCGGCCGCCTGTGAGTACATCTACGCCTAAACACACCACCATTCTCAATAGTTCTATCTACCCCAAAACACATCGCCATTCATAATATTAAAAGCCCACAACGACACAAAAATCACATCACTTGGCCGCGTACGTCAATCTCAACCTGCTTCAATAGGGCACCACACGTGTACGATGCGCATTCAGATGCTCGTACCTCTGCTTTGGGCGCAGCGCGCTGGTTTATCGTCGCTTCCGCGCGTCCCGGGAGGGTGGACGTCGCGGGAGGACGGACGCGCGGGCGAGCGGGCGGTCAGGAGAGCGGACGAGCGGGAGGACGGGCACGAGGACGGGTGGGCGTGTGGGCGGGTGGACGCGAGGGCTGGCGGGCGCAAGGGCAGGCGCGAGGGCGCGAGAGTGCGAGGGCGCGAGGGCGCGCGGGTGGAGGGTGCGAGGTGCGAGGGTGCGTAGTGGTGCGAGGCCCGTGAGAGGGCGCGAGTGATGCGAGGGCGCGACTGGCGCGAGAGAGGCGAGGGCGGGTGGCTGTGTGGCTGGGCGGGCGGAGGGGGATCTCGAACGGCGCGGGGAACAGGCTGGCGGACAGGCCCACTGCGGAGACGCGCAGTCTGTCCTCGGGTGCACGGGCGTGGTGCGAGCGCAGCGCGAGCGGCGACGCAGGACGTGCCCGCGGCGGAGGCTGCGCGGAGGAAACTCGCGATCTTCACCGCGGTGAAAGGTCGTCGAGGCGGCGCAGGCGGGCGCGGCTGGGACGACCAGGCGTGGCGTCGGCGGCGGCGACGGCGGGGGTCGGGCAGTAGGGGGCGAACGGGAATTGTTGTAAGGTCATTGGGCAACGCGGCGGCGCGCCGCCGGTCCGGCGCGGGCGGCGGGGGTGTGGCTGAAGGTGGGGGTTGCAGGTGGGAGGGGCCCCACCTGAGAGACCCGCCCACCGCCAAGGAGGATTTTTTCGATTGCTCATCTGCTCTTCCTTCGAGGGTACCCACGTGGGGGGAAGACCGACACACCCGCGCCTACCGGATCCGCATGACTGACCGCTGCTCACCTTGGTACTCGCAGGTCTCCACATCCTATCACTCCCCCCGGTTACACACCAAGAACTATTTACGCTAGTGCAAACACTACGATAATAGTTTGCGCTAGTAAATTCTGGCATCGGAATATCTCTATCAAAATCTTTTTTATTCTTGAAACAACAAAAAAAATTAGCTTCAAATACTTTTAGGAATTACAACAAATAACATTCGATTGTATAATTCGAGATTTCGATAACTGTTGCCTCTCTCTTCAGAAAAATATTTCAAAAATCTTCCTTTTTCAGTCTTTTATAATAAAGTACCTTTCAGGTCTGATTGTTTACTCAATTCTAACTTATTTTGGTCAACCTACTACATTATATTTCCAAAATAATACGGTACTTTTGTTTGCCGACTTTCCATATTATCGGCAGGTACTGGAGGAGCAATTTCACACGTACGAATTAAAGTTGCCGCATTGACCCTCAAGATATGGGTACGTGGGATATTTTAGAAAGGTATGGATCACTGAATGTATAAATATCTTGTTACTTTTGATTAAAATCCCCAGCATTTTGTTTCTTTGCTCCCGCTATACGGCAAATACGTTAAATCCCAACTATTAAGTTGTTTCACGCTTGTTTAGTTCCAACCTTACTTTCTTTTCTTATTAAATTGTCACCTTGAATATCTCAGGTTTACATCTTACGGTCAACTGCATATCTAGATACGATTAAATTCTCGTATATATTTTGAAATCACAAATTATCTCACCGCAAATTTTATTACATTCCTTATTCACGTAACATATCGTAATTATTTTTTTAATCCTTATTCACGTAACATATCTTGGCTAATTTTCTTGGTTCGAAAATAAATAGTACGTTATCAGTTTTAATTTAAAAAAATCATTTTGTCTTACTTCAGCACTGAATTTAGCATCTTTGGTTTTGTCCATTTGTAATAAATATAATTTTGAAAGTTTCTCTATCACTGAATGTTCATCAGACTAAAATAAATATATTTTAATAATAAATAGTGATTACTCGAATATATGGTCTATAGCAATATTTTAGAAAAAAACAACCACACTAAAAAGAAGTACAAAGTGATGTAAGTTACAAAGTGTTTTTTAAAATTAATACTTACATTCATTGAGCTATTATACATTTCTTAATTTAGAAACAAGTAAATAAAGTTTCTACGATATCTCTCTCGTATATTCTAGTCTCTTTCTATATTCTCTCGTATACTGTAGGACTGTCCTTTTTTACGTCCCAAATCCTATGATAGCCCTCCTAAAAAAATTCAGACACAAAAGGCTCTCCCAAAGCAGGTTCTATGAATCACCGTGCACCACCTTACACTGACTCTTTCTCGCGCGCCTACGGCAGGTCTGAAAGGCGCGTGGTGCCGGCCGGGCCGGCCCGCCCGATCCTCCGAGGGGAAGAGCGCGCCCAAAGGAAATGGAAGGAGAGTGAGAGAGAGAAAGTGTATCGGGGCGCGAGGCGCGGCCGCGGAGCACGGGATAATGCGGGATGTGTGTCATGGAGCGTTACGTCACCGCTGCAACCTCCGCCCCGCCTCATCGTCCTCCTCCCGCCTCCCTCTCCGTCGTCGCCTCCTCTTCCTCTCTCCTTCTGCTTCGCCTGGCGTCGCCGCCGCCGCCGCCGCCGCGAGGTGCCCTTAGCTCTCGCTGGCGGAGGCTGGCCGGAGGATCCCACCGCGGAGGCTGACTGCGCAGCGCCCCCACTCCCCGGTGCTGCACTTTCCCACCGCGCCGTGCGTACTCTTGGGTAAACTCCCTGCGCGCGAGGCGGCCCCCCCTCCACCCTTCCTCGTCGCCTGGCGTCGACGCGGGTAAACCCCACCTCCGGCGAAATTCCTCCAGCCCCCCCGAACCTTTTGCCGGAGTCCGCGGGCCGCCCCGCCCCCACCCCGCCGACGGCGACGTCCATCCCCCTGCCAGCGCCGTCCGCTATATAAGGGACCCCCGCTGTTGGAAACGGTATCAGTGTTGTGTGGTGCCGTGTCAGAGTCACTGTTGAGAGACGTCAGCTGTTCCGAACGTGATGGCCATGTTGAAGGTGTGTGCTTCGCACAGTGCGCCGAGGTGCTGCGGGTGGTGGTGCCGGCGATCCAGCATGTGGACGGAGGATATCGTATGGCGGTGGCGACAACTAACAATGCACGATATTGATACGGGTTGGGCCTGCTCTGTTTGTGGATTAGCGGCTGGAGTCATAAAGAAGCCTTGGGATTCCAGCTGTGCATGCGTCATTTTTGTGACTGAACTAACATTATAAGTTTCAAATTATTAATTTTGGTCAAAAATGTTTTAATAAATGATAAAATAATTGGAAATAACTTGGTTTTCTATAGCATTAACCTATGCATGTTGTAGAGAATTTTGGAATGTAAGTTTCTAATTTGTTTCGATCATTTTAATAGACAATCATAAAATTATATACCTTCTTTTATCATGCATGCAAAAACATGACTAACATTGAATTTTGAGAAAAATACTTTTTGTCATTTTGACATTTTCAAAACTCTAATCGATTCATTCAATATTTTCTAACTAAATGTATGCCTTAATAAATCAAATTACCCATTTAAAAAAAAATGCTTAATTTAACATAAACTAATTTAAAATAATAGTGCATGCCAAAAGTAAAAATTTAACATTTTCTACTCAAGACTAAATTACGTAAGGAGGAAAAATCATTCAACAAATTATTACTTCCACGTCTTCTGTGGAGACAATTGTAAATATGTCAGCAATTGTAATACAATGTCTTTTTGACTTGGGTTCAAGACTTGCATAAAACATCTTTTTAAAACTAAATATTCACGATGTAGATAAAATAAAAGAAAGGGAAGAAGGCTAACAAGCTGACCTTTAAAATCGAAACAAGAAGTTAGATTTTGCTAGTATATTATGAGTGTAAAGATCACTGTGGCTGACACTCCAAGGCAAAAAGAAGAAAAGATTCGACACTTGACGAAGTCATAATTACAAGAACGAATTTTTCATCTCTATTCATTCACACAATTCCCATGTCTTCGAGAGAGCAAATAATGCAAATCGCAAAAGTCTCTCTGGAAAATTTATAAAACAATACTAAAAACTGGAAAACTTATAATGAAAACAATCGAACGGTTAAAAAGAAATATTAAGTAGAATTTACGAGTCAATTTATGTAATTTGAATATGAAATGAACACAAAAAAGAAACATGACCGGAGAGGAAAAAAAAGGTAATGAATTTGAAGTAACATATGACCATAAGAGAGAAGGATTTCCTCATGCAAGGAAAAGGGAAATTTAAAAAAGAACCTAATAGCCTGCAGACAAATATTCTGCCAAGGGCCATTAAATTAGATATTTCAGAATAACATGTAATGCTATTTCAATCCTCTGAAGGAGGTCGTATATCCAAGAATAGACTGTAACTTTCTCAAAAAGGAATAGGACGGTTGTATTACTGGGTAAATACTCCTTCTGGGAAGAACAACATGAGCAATTAGAGCAAAAAATATTCACTAAAGGCAATCGCGCCATGTTACGGGGAATCCCCCAACCTCCGAGACTCCTTCTCCGAAGCCTGCTTTAATCGCCCCACGTTCACGTAGCTACACCTCCGACAGGTCGCCAATCGATTCGCCGCAGAGCTTCCACGCCGGCTCTAGCGGTCTCGTCGGGTTCCTCGCTTACTCGCGCATTGTAGTCACACGTTCCGCGCGGCGGCGGGAAGCCCTCGCGCGCGCGCGCGCGCCGGCTCCCGGCCCGCGTAAATCGCCGCCGCCGCCTCCTCCGCACCTGCCGCCGCCGGCGACGGCCCCCTCCGAGGCCTTGGGGACGCCAGGAACGAGGAACCAACCGCGGGCGGCCGTGCCCCTCGGAGGAAGAACGCAATGCGAGGACGATACCGTCACCCCTCCTTCCACCACCACAGCCGCCGCCGTGTCCAACGCAGCCGGCGGCGATGCGCAAGAAGGCCCCCGCGCTCAGATGCCAATCACTGCTTAGCAGCTTCGCGCCGGTAGATGGCTTTTTGATAGGCAGATTCGTCGGAGACTGCGCGTCTTTGTGCCGAAGACACACCGTCACTTTTCCGAGAAGAGATAATGTCTCAATGCGAAGCATATTTTTTCTTCTTCAGAAACTGCGTTATTACTTTAAAAATTAAAATTTGTTTTATCTGAAGTCCTTCGCCGATTTGTTGAGATTTAATCAAAGTCGAGATTCCCAGGAACAAGACACACACGTTTAGGTGCTTTAAATAATTTACAACAAAAATGAAACAATGGCCTTGCAAACGTGTCCGCATTTTATATTTCACGATAAAAATGAAATACATAAACCATTTAGCGCATCATTTACAATATTTCACGAGTTATTATATAACTTATTTACATATAAATAAACTAGCATTGACGCTCACACTTATTATATCACATGATTTCAAATATATATTCAAGAAAACTTATAAATTATTCATTTGATCATTATTTCCTATTGCCAATGACGTTCGTTACAAGGCAAGTAGTTAACGAAATTGCACACACCTCTATTACATCTCTGTTTTGACTTTTGTGTTTGACCGGCAAACGAGAGTGGGTTAACCAAAGTCTAAATGAAGGAGCGCTCCTGTATTCGAGTCACATGTGAGGAGGCGTAAATTTGTTGTTGGCTTCTTCGTATACTCGCGGGCTTCCGTGTCCCAATGCCATGTTCACAGCGTCGCGTTAAAAGGTTGTTGGTATAAGGCAAATAACGAGCCCACGCAGTGAATGCGCGCTTCTTGATTGAAGAGTAACTCGACAAAAAAGAAAGCCGCAAAAAGGGTAAATTATTGTCAGATGCAAAAAGTTTGCGAAAGGGTACTATTTTCTCCCACCCCCAACCCTCTATCTTGCAAAACTCTCTGAGAAAGTATTCTTCATATTCATATATTTTCCTCAACACATAACTTGATAAAACTTTTGATTTCTAATTTAAACTAAACGCATTTATCTTTCTAAGGGGTTCATTATTATATGTAATAGGAGAAGGCAGGATAGTAATTTGTTTACGGAAATAAGTCTCGAAAGGTGATTCATTACCACACATTAGTATGCTGCTCCGGCACCTTCCACTGAACTAGACAGGAACCGGCGTAAAGTTAATGAATGAAATTAATCGCCTGGTCATCCTCGAATGTTGACGAAGCTCCTAGACGAAAACAGTTGAGGCAAAGGTGTGATTTCGTACATGTGTCTCATGAATATCCGAACCAACTCATTTTTAACTATTTTATATATTTTAAAATCGAATAATAGTAACTAATGCATCAAATTCTGGATGAAAAATAAATAAATGTGTAACTTTCTTAGAAAATGTTACTTGAGATAAATATAATCAGTTTAATTACAACAGCATATTCCTTAGAGGAAATTATCTGCCAATTGTGGATAAGGAAGTCAAAGCATTTAAAGAATTCTATCTGTGCCAAACACTGAAAAAGACTAGTGGCTTTTAGACAGCTTTAACGATCTATATGCAAATGAAAAGTGTCTGAGGCACAAAACTAGTAGGCAAATATCTGGACAAAATTATATTAATAAGTGTACGAGTAGATATCAACGTCTCCAACGTCATCTTTTTTATTTCTATTAAACATTATTTTAAGGCATTTTTGGTCTGCAAACTTCCTAAGCTCTAACTTTTATATAAAGTAATACACATTAAAGTAATTATTAATATAAAATACCTTATTTTAAATTTATTCTCCCTATAATTTTATGACGCTGTTGGAGTTAAGGGTTTCTTAAACGTGCTCTATAACATGTTTTTATTTTTTACTTTACGAGTTAATATTTAAGAATGAGTTCAAAGACCAGAGCAATTGCTGTATACATTTTTTGAACTCTATTTTATAAAGGCGACAATACAGAGGAGAAGCATATCATTCCCACTACACACAAATCTATTTTCGGGGCTCACCGAGTCGTTCTTCAAACGACAAAAGAAACGCAACTCAGCTCTCCTGTCGCGGTCGTGAAGCGTCCTCCATGCAAAGTGCCTCAGGCTGCTATTTCGCCGACAACCGCGACAACACACGAGCCGCTTCTAGGGATGCGACATCTACAGACAGGATTCAATATATAGATTATTTAACCCAATGTTGTTTTCCACATCGATGTTTCCACATTTTCGATAGTTTGCTCATAGATGAAAAAAGTTAAAATCACATATTTTAGAGGTTAAAATTGAAAAAATAATTCATTAATAACTTTTAACACGGTTTGTACTATTTTCTAACTATCCCTCATTCGAGATGTTCCTATTGTTCTAATATTTCCTTCGCCTTTCCTCATACACTCTGCACGGAGAGTCGTTTTATAACTTTATATTGAGTTAAATTTTAATTATATACTGTTACAGACACCGTCAAATTAAACCTTCTTGCGCTCGAATTAAATTTCAAGATTACTAAACCAGCTTTAAAAATCAATGTTTAAAAACATGAGTGACTGTTGGTTGATATATTATTAACATCGACGATTTAATTTTGAATTTCAACATTTGGCAACGTGGATGTTTTGTTGTCAATGAGGTCAGTGCAGTATCTCTGACCGGGAGGTTCTAGGGTTCGAATTCCGCTGGCGGCAGAATTTTTAAGGTGGGTGGAATTCAGCCGCTGCCTGAAAGAGAATTCTAACGGCCGACTGCTGCTTTGATAGGTAGTTTTTCGTGGTTTATTCGATTAACACCAGGCGAATGCTAGAGCAGTACTCTAACAAACGCACCACCGACCGCGAGCAATATTTCCTTCCTATTCATTGTCTTATACTCATCCCTTACATTCAATCACATGCACTACACTACCACAAATTCCGGGAGACCTGTCGGGAGCTCAGAGCTTGTCCCGACTGGGGTGGTGTTCGCTGGCCGGAGATACCAGTTTGGGATCAAATTCCCCCAAACCGACGTAGGTCGGCGCTGGATCTCGCCAGCAAGCGGAGGAAGATAACCACTACCTCCCGCCATAAAATATACACTATACAATTTCGAGACTAAGGAGCTCAGTAGTTGATGCTTG